CATTGTACATTGTACAGCTACACAGTCGGGATATTTTGAACATCAAGGTGACTTTGTAATTTCATGAGAAACGCTTTCTGAGTCTGGAAATTCACTGTTTGCATGAACACGTATGTTTAAATTTGCTGTGATGCACCATTCAATTAAGGCTTGATGCAATACGTATTCTGTCCACATTACATACTGTTTTCAATTTTTGTGGTTTAGCGACTTGCTTTGTTGAATTTCACGTTCCCATAGATTAGAACTGGGCCAGAGAGTTTAGTAATGGAGTCCTGTCAAAAGAAGCGCGAATAGTGTTTGTTGTCAGCTATTGTTTGAATAATTAGCATAATTTTTTTCCGGTGTCAGGGTACATACTGAACTCACATTACCTTTTCGTAGTTAAGTGAGCCTACACTACTATGATGCATTGCAATATCTGCAACCTTTTAAAAGTTGTTTTTCAGTTTCTGTGTTAAATGTTGGATGCATATTTAATGTGCGCAATAACTGAGGCAGTCCCAGATTGTTAATAGTAAGCTGTTTGTCTACTGAAATTATATGATTCACTCTCTGGAGATCTTTTCGTTTCCCATAAGTACACTGTACACTGGTGCTACTAGTGTATTCCTGACCTAAATCTCTAGAATCCACATACCCTAGTGTTTTTCCTCGCAAGGATACGACTGGATGTATTAAACTTGTGGGAATAGGAGTGAAGAATGACGTGAATGAAGGTGGAGATGTAACACAGAGACGTCATTGGTTCTTAATGTCCCTCCTTTTAATATCTGACTCATCGCCCACTGTTATGTTTTGCCTTTTTGCCTTAGTCGCTGTGCTTTAGTTTTGCCTCCATTTTATCTTTTCTGAAACGACAAGGTTTGACCAGTGCTATACCTCAGGTGTGATCGAAAGTCAACGCTTACTGATGGAGTTTCAATATAGTACTTCCCACTGAAGTGCTTTCTTAGGAGGTTTCACAATCCATGTAGGCGACGAAAGTGGAAGAATGAGGTTGAAAGGAAGGGAGAAATGGGCAGAAATATTGGGTAGAACAAGTTGTCCCTTGGAAAAATGTGGTGGTTTCGAAGTTGTGGGGAATCAAAGAGAGTGAATGCATGTGCCACTGAGAACAATTTTGAGTTAAGATGTTCGAATTTTCCTGCAGCTGAAGTGTTGAGATAACTCAGTGTCAGGATCTATTGATGAGGTCGTACTTTCTCTGACTAAATACCGGGTTTTCTGTAAAACAGTGTAAGTTGTGATAAAAGCCTCGTCGGTGAAATATTGCATACGGATATGGCAAAATTTACTTTTGACCTCAGGTGGTGCATCTCGTTGTAACTAATGCCTGCTTAATGATAATAATAAAAGGTACTCCAAAGTTGCACTTATCTAACTTATAAGGAGAGGGCTCATTGTTTTTGAAGAAGAATTTTGGATACATTGAAGAAAGGGTTGCTTAATCGAGACTAGACATGGCAGTCGGGCTCGCATATCTCAAGGACCGAATAACAATAGGTTGAGTAATATTGGAGCTAGTCGACAGGTGTTAGGTAAGGAGGGAAAGTCAGTCGATGAGGTTGTGAAGCTGCATTGGTTGAGGTGACTGGGAGATGTGTTATGCTTGGCGAGCCATCACCTTCGTCGATGGGTAGTGTTAGCTGACATATTATTAGGTTGGAAAAGTGTTGGGCTTAGTCAAGCTAGAGCCTGGAATCAGTTCGCGAGACCTATGACAGTTGGTTTGAGTTGCATAAGGAGATAGACTGCCTGGTTTGAGTCCTTAGGATGCTTTGAAGTTGTTGTTGCGGTTGTTTGTTGATATAAGGCGAATGATCACAGATGCGGCATGTTGGAATTTTGCAGTTCGTCTATGTTTGTAAACGGGTGATATCACCAGTTCTTTGATAGTATTTGATCACTAATCCGTATGGATGCTGTTGGATTGCATTACTTCCTATGATGCTTAGCTCGGTTTTATTTTAGGTGGACTCCTTTGTTTTGTGTGAGCTGGAGAATGTGCATCTGTATTCTTCTCACAGTGAAGTTGTTTGTTGAGCAGTTGAAATGCAACTGTATGCCGAACTGGTCCTATTTGAAATTGTTTTATCCAACACACTGACTGTCTTCTGGGCACTTATCTGTTTTGCAGTGGTCTTACTAACAATAGTCTTTTCAATAGAGTTTACCAAACATTATGTGCGTACTGCGCATCGCTTATCTCTGTCCTTATTTCACGACTGTGAAAGGTGGTCTTAGGATGTGGTAGACGATAAGAGGCTAGTTGTCATAAGTATGTGTCTGCGTCCATTTTCTCGTCTTAGGTGGTCGAATATTAGGTCAAGAAGGGAAGTTAGTCGATGAGACTATAATGTTACATCGGTTGAAATGCCTAGGATGTGTTACTGTTGTGAAATCATCCTTGTCCTCGAGTGATACTGGATGAAATTGGACTAGAGTGGGAAGGAGTTAGGGGTGCTCAAAATAAGACGTGGAATCAGTTAATGAAGTGCTTGACTGTTTTTTTTTCTTTTAAGTCGACCACGTGTGGAATTGTAAACTGCCTAGTTGTGTTCATCAAGACTCTTAGAACTAGTGTTTGGGGAACTGTTAGCGTCATAGCTTAAAATCGTTCTCAATGGTGTAGATGCATGCAATCACTGTGATCTCCAAGGCCTATTAAATTCCCATAATTATTCTGATTCTTGCTGTCATTCATTTCCACGCAGTGTAGTTCTTTCTTCAAATTTCTCCGTTTCTTTCCACTTTTGCCTACATTTATGTGTGTTACATTTATTATTATTGTCCCTTGGGTTCCTGTGGAACATACGGCTTCAACTGCACGCTCCACTTGCTTCTGTCTTCTGCTGTACTTTTCACTTGCATCCATGTTAGTACATACTGTTTCAACTCTTCTTCACACGATCTCTCCATGTCACCTTGACGTCTCACTCGCCGCTTCCCTTTCGGGTTCCACTCGAGCTATGGCCTGACGCGCGATGTCACCCAGCGGCCTCCTCAGCGAGTGTCCAATCCATCTCCACTTTCTCCTGCATATTTGTTGAGCGATTGGTTCTTGTTTTGTTTGTTCCCAGAGTTTCTTGTTGGTGATTCTTTCCGGCCATCTGATCTTCAGTATCGAGCGAAGACAGATGTTGTTGATAAAGGTCTGCAACAGGCTGTTGGAAATATTCTTTGTGACCCACTGGCGAAGTTTCTGATCCATCCGTATAGAAGAACTGACTGACTTGACGTTTGTATTGAAAATCCGAATCATTTTGTTGTTGATGCAGGCTGAGTGACGAAGATTTCCAGATTGGTTTCAGGTTGATGAATTGTTTCTCGCCTTCCCGATTCTCATTTGACATCCTCCCGTTCCTCCTGTAGTTGAGACAATCTCCCTAGATAAGTGAATGAAGTAACCTCTTTCAAATCCCCGTTGATGGTGATTGCTGGATGTTGCTGCTGCTGTTGTTGTTTGTTGGTTGGTTATTTTCATAACCTCCGTCTTGTCTATGTTCACCTGGAGTCCTGTCTTTGCTGCTTCTTCCACCAGTTTATCGGTTTTCGCTTGTAAGTCTCGATTTTGTGTGACACCAAACATAAATCATCCACGCGCGAAATCCAGGTCTTCTAGGTTCTTCACGTCGGTCCAGGCTATCCCGTCTTCTCGTTTCCCACTGTCTGACGCATAATCCAGTCCACCACAATTAGGAATTCATGTGGTGATAATAAGCACCCTTGTCTGACTCCTGTGTTTACTCCGAAAGCCTCGCTGAGTTTTCCGTTGTGGATCACTTGACATGTGCCGTTGTCGTACAGCTGTTGAATAAGGTTGATGAATATTCGGAGTACGCCGTAGTACTCGAGTAGTTTCCAAATTACTTCGCGGTCAACGCTGTGAAGGCTCTTTTTTTAGCTTGTTCTGATCATTTCTCCAGGATGATGCGACTCAGATTACTTGGCTGACAGAGCATGATCTGCAGTTTGCTACATCTACTGTATGACAACTTGGATTGCTGCATTTTTGTGCAAAGTTCTACATAGAAGACACCCAGTCACTCAGTACTGCTTTTGGTGACTACTTAAGACACTGGTGGGTTCATCTTGATATTCTTCATCACAATCAAACCTATTTTGGACGTTTCAATTAGAACAGAGGCATAAAGATTGACGAACTTTTACTAACTGGTCACAGTTGGTTGACTGTCTTTCACACTCCTGTAAATCCGGATTTAGAATTGTTTGTTCTCTGGAAGGTGTAGGTTGCATAATTGAAATGCTGGTTGTCAAAGAGAAATACTTTACCGCCACCCCACTTCTGTTCAGCAGGTATTACTTCTTTGTATAGGAAACTGTTTTACACCAGAATTATTCACATATACAGTAGCCGCTTATCAACTATCTCACTGTCGTTACACAGTTGTTCCAAAAAGTTATTCTAGGGTATGACACAAGTCTAATTACGTCATGGCATTAGCTAATGATCAACGATATTACTTCGACGTTTTACCACTCTGTGCATCCGTCTACTTGCCTTAATTCATTTTTTCATCATCTATAACTAGTGTTTGTCTCTTTGCTTTTATCACTTTGGCTCTACTCAAGCAATTTAACACTACTATAGCAGAACAGTCTTCTTTCGTCAGTATAATCGGCTGTTCCTCCAGGTTCTCTTGTTTTTCTATGATGCTGTTTAAGAGTGTTTTTACTTGGAGAAATGTGTGTATCTTTAAGATAAATCAGTTTGTTTTTCTTTTGCAGGTTTCATTGTATGGTGTAAATGTCAGTACGAGAACATGAGCACTTCCTTTCTGACTAAATTGCATGGATATTTCGGCTGCACCGTCTTGGATTCTTGTTTTTGCAAAGATGTCTTCCTTGAACAGGTGGCGTATTTCTTGCAAACTTCCGAATTAATCTCACATTTCATTACGCTAGCCGAGAAATGTAATTCTTCAGAAAGCATTTCTTGTGTTAACTTATATCATCCTCTTGACGATGACAGTGATCACCTTAAGTTGCTTTGCTTGTTGATAAAGTTAAGCGAAGACCTTCACAACCAATTAACTAGTTATCTTGAGACGTTTTGTGATTCAGATTTTCAGATTTTGATGAATGACGCTATGATATTCAGTGAAATACAAGATGTTGTTTCATCTTTACTAATTTCCATTGATGCTGAAGTTTCCTTGCAGCCTTTATGGTATACATATTTGTGTTTAGAGCTTGAATCGGCTGAGGCTGATACTGAAGAATCTAACATATTCTCTACTGTTATTTGTCCAGATGTTACAGACGGAAAAATGCAGGTGTTATCATTAGCCAGGAATTTTACGCATAACAATTCTCTTGTCAGTTGGAATAAGTTATATCGCCGCCTGTGTATACCATATGCTAAAGAGGCTTTGTTATACAGAACAAAGTTATTGTGTTCTGAAAACTATTCTGAACGCTTTCTGAGTTCAATTATTAAATATAAAGATTGTATACTGAAGGAAGTTTTCCTGCCTAGATTATTTTCTAGTAAATCTGATGCACTTGATATCAGTCTTGAACTGTCAGATGTAGTTGTCTATTCAGCATTTTATTCGGTTCACAAACCAGACATGTTCTCCTTAGTCATTGAATACCCAGACTCTGTCGCTGCTCTTATGGATCTAGGCAAATGTTTAGATCACCTACCAGTACGTCAAGATTTGATAGCTCATCTTACTAAAGAGGTAAGTAGACTTATTATACATTAAAGATGTATTTTTGCATAGTTTGCATAGTGTTTGATAAAATGGTGTTTTTAACATACTTCAATGCAATGTGATTTAGTGGTACAATACTCGCCAACCATATAAGTAATTCGGGATTCGATCCCCGGCCGCCACACTCCTAAACCTCGCCTAGCAGCTGGTAGTAAGCCTGGTAGAGATGGAAGCTTCGACGTGAGGTGGTTAGCAACTCTACCTGTAAAAGAATAAAAACTCACATTACTGCTATTGAAACTCCAAATCTCAAGCTTGAAGCCCTACGTTCGGAAAGCAAGGAAATAAATGGATTACTCTTGATACAGTTAAATGGGTTCAATTAACTGGTAATATAGTGTGGTGGCATTGCATGAAATATATAACAGTTCTAGAGATTCAGGAAAATGAACTGAGGCGTTTACCGCTATGTATTTTATTCAATTAAAAGTTTAAGAAAGCTGAATAGTGTGAAAATAAAATGTCACAACCTTGAAAGCGGGAAGTTACGTAAGAAAATGAGTATATTATGAGGATATTTAAATTGCGGTAAAGTGAATAGCTAGGTAATGATCAATGGATTAATTTGGACAAGGCAATAGCAGCATATGGAACAGTATAGAACGAATCCTTTCTTCGTTTCCTCGGTGTCTTCTCAACTGTATTCAGCCTGAATAGGGGGTCATAATAGTTTTAATTATTACAATTTTAACATACTTTTCATTGCTGGGAATAAAATTTTGTAACAGTAATTAGTCATTTATTCACTTAGTTAATCATTTAATAATTCCCATTGTAACACTAAGAACACAGTATTCAGCGTAGAGACTCTTTGCAATGAATTTATTATCAAGCTGTAGAATCATATATACTAACCCTATAATTATACACCCCTTATACACCCGTATCCACTCGTTATTCAAGAGTTTTGCGGAAGATATATCACTCACTAATATACTATTTACGAATTCTTGCCACTAGTGCACGTCAGAATTCTTTCTTCCCAGCCTTATTAAGCATGCGAGGCAAGTTTTTGTTCGGCTGTGCTGTTATTATAGGGCGTAAATCAAGCATTCACCTGACATAGAAACAAGGGATTAAATCCATTCACATTAAGATTTTCTGTTGCCACTAGTTCTGTTACAAAGTTCGTCCACTTGAAATTTGTAGGACTTAAGGTTGAATACTTTAAAGGGTATAACGGTGATCATCAGTATGGTATGTGTTTATCTAATTTTCGATGTTATGATTGCATTATTATTATTATTAGTTTTATTTTCCAGATTCGGCACAGACTGTTGCATCCTGGTGTTCACACAGAACAAATTTTGGCGGCTTACAACTATCTAGTACGCGCTTTACGTTTGATTGACAACACTTTCCTGGTGCAAGATATTGTTTGCGAACCGGTTTCAGCATGTCTTCGACAAAGAGAAGATGCTGTTCGTTGTATAGTAGATAAACTTATTTCGGGTCCCGAATCCGATACTGGAGATGATGAGGTGAAAGCTGAAGAGTATGCTGATACAACTACAGAACTGCATCAGGAGTTGTTATTACCAAAACCATTAGAAGTGGAATCGTTAGATGGTGGTGAAGAAAGTGACACTGACATTGTATTCGAAGGTTAGCCAACTTATTTTGTGTTCGTGCCTAATTTTTGTCTACTTGTGCAAAACGCAAATTTTGTGCATCATGCATTTCGGATATTGTGCCATAATCTGAGTCTTATTGGAAAATTGAGTCTCACCTAAAGTGCAGAGAAAAGAAATCTAATTAGTGAGTTCTGCTTCAAAGAGGATATACATATTTTCATCACAACTCATGAGAATTGGCTTTTTGTAGAAGAGTATAGACAGTTTTCTTTATCTAATGTAGCCTGTCTCATAGATAAGATAAAGAGAAGGATTTCGAATTCACATCTGACTAGGAAAATTAAGAAACCCAGGTGATAAATGCTAAATAAACTCTGGTATGTGTACTGGTAATTGTATAGGAACCGTAATAGTTGGCTGAAGTTAATTCTTCCGACCATGTAAGTCACTAGTGCTGGTAGAAGACGCCAACTGTGTTGCTGACAAGGTACTTTTAAGGTGATCGCATGTTTCAGTTGTTCTATGGAACCATATTGGTTACTGTACATAGCGTTATCAAACTAGTGCTTTCCTTTAGGTTAGTTTGCACTGTGATAGTTGGCAAAGCTGCCCAGATCGCAAACGAAATGAAAAGATTCAAGTACTGGGAATATGTGAAAGCAGAGGGAACAGAAATGAACTCACCAAATTGTCAACGGGTGAGTCAGTGATCTACTCCGGTCACCCAGAAGACATCCACGAGCTCACCGAGGGTATGGCATCATGATGTCACCAACGGCAACAAAGTCCCTCATACGATGGGAGGCGATCTCACTCAGGATTCAACTCAAAAGGAAGGAAAGTGTCAGTCATACAATGCTATGCACCGACAAACAACGCAGACCTCGAAAAGAAAGAAGAATTCTACAGACAACTACAGGCAACAATGGACAATACTCCAGCTGGTGACATTAAAATACTAATGGGAGACATGAGCGCCAAACTGGGATCAGACAACACAGGAAGGGAACTCATCATGGGTAGAGAAGCTCTAGGAGTAATGAATGAAAATGGAGAACTCTTCTCCGACTTCTGCACCTTCAATGAACTAGTGATTGGTGGCAGCGTATACAAACACAAGGATATCCACAAGGCTACATGGGTGTCACCAGATGGGCGAACCAAAAACCAAATCGACTTCATCTCAATCTCAAGGAAGTGAAGATCCGGATTTTCAACTCCAGTGTGAAGTCAGTGCTACTATACGGATCAGAGACTTGGCCAGTGCGTCATAAAGAGCATCTCAAACAAACTACAGACCTTCATTAACAGTTGTCTTCGCTCAATACTCAAGATCAGACGGCCAGCCAGAAAAGATCAGCAACAGAGATCTCTGGGATCGAACCAACCAACCAGGAATCGATTGTGAAACAGATAGGCAGGAAGAAATGGAGATGGATTGGCCATACTCTTAGGAAACCATCAAGTGACATCACACGCCAGGCCCTCACTCGAGTGGAACCCGAAAGGGAAGCGGCGAGTTGGTCGTCAGTGCAAGAGTGACTTGGAGGAGGTCATGTGAAGAGGAGATGAAAACGTGTGGGCAGACATGGAGCCAGGTGAAGACTCTAGCAGAGAACCGAACTCAATGGAGACGAACGGCTGAAGCCCTATGTTCCTCTAGGAATTAAAGGATACAATAATATAATAATAAGTTGTTACCTTTATCAGGAGAAATGAATCTGAAGCGCTTCCTAAAGGGTATTCTATTCAGATTTGGTTACTGTTTGTGTTCGTTGTTTTCGTGGATCATCTTTTTCGGAATGCACCATTGGATTGATATAAGCGAATTTCGGATCTTTAACGGTATATTATTCCGTATTAGTGTTTTTTTATTAAATATTTCACAGTGAATTAGTGTTTTCAGAAAGATAAAAAATATTTTTCATAATCATAGCAAAGTTGTCCACTAAGAGAGAGAGAGAGAGAGAAAAGTGCGAATAGTTCTGTAGTTCAGCTACATTGTTCTCTTTTTTTTTCACTAAGCTTTTCATAGTTTTATTTCTTTCTCATACTCCCTTTGTCTTGGAAGTAGTAGAGTGAATTCTTGTAATATCCTCAGGATGTTGTATCCACTCTCTGTGTGTATGTTGTTACGCCTGCTTTTCATTATATGGTTCGAGTTAACTAGAAAAGCAATAGTAGATGTCAGTATAATCTTTGTAAGTAAAAAAATTCACGGAATAGTCAAAAAGCTTAACAAAAGTTTAAACTGAAGACTTCCAGTCAACAAGAAGGATTGTGTAATCCCCCTGTAAGGTGGTCAGGTTAACATATCTTTTGTAGCATTAAAAACACTATAGAAAAACTAGGCAAAATAGGGTGAGAATAAGGAAGTCAGTTGACAATTTTTCCAACAAGTCCATTGGTCCTCCCTACTGTAGAACTCTTCTATGATATCGTGGTGAGGTCAGTTTTGAAGTTTACCAAATCCACACGTAACTGATAGCATCATCTCACTTTATTAATGCCTATTTTTAAATAGACTTGTAAAAAATTCTTTTAAAGATAGACTTGTGTGATATCCGGCAATCGACCAAAGGGCGTGTGTACTGCTCAACAGTCCGCTCCGTCCTCCTTTATGGCTGTGAGACATGGCCATTGAGAGTGGAAGACATGAAAAGATTATCTATGTTCGATCATAGGTGTCTGCGTTCTATCTCCCGCATGAAGTGGTAT